ATTTCTTGATTATTTAATTAAATTTCTTACTCCTGTTTAGAACATTTAAAATTTTGATTTAAAAAAAAAAAAACTTGTTTTCCCTGCATCGATGGTTGTACTAAGTTTTTTGCATCGCAAATTTTAGCCTCTTTTTTGCAGTGACAGACACATTAATTTGGATATTCTTACAAAAATCAAATAATTGTTGGAATTTAATTAATGTGATAATTGTTAGCATTATATTAGTTAAGACTTAAGAATTTAAATCTCTGATTTTTTTTTTTTTTTTTTTTTTTTAAAATGTGACCCTGTTTTACCAAAAATTTGTTCAGAATTAAAAAATGAAAAACACAATAAAACTAAGACATTATTTAATTAGAGGCGCTTTTAATTGCTTTTATGAATAATATATATTAAAGACAATATTGTCTGAAGAAAAAATTTTTTTTTTTTTTTTTTTTTTTTTTTTAATGAAAAATGAATTATTACAAGATTTGTTTTCATTTTTTTCAATTTTAAATTGAATAATTTATAGTTTTAAAATCTTTTAAAATTCATTTTCAATGTGATAACTCTTAGGAAATATTGTTATTACTAGTTTAAAAGCTGCTCTAATGGGCAGTATTTTAGTGAGCTCCTGCAGAGGGCTCTTGATTGGGCCTACATCACAATAGGTAGGGAGGAGTAGATTCAACAGGCAAAAATAAACTACAGAAGATCTCAAAATTGATCGCTGCATTTAAATATTGCTTTAATATTTAAGATTACCTTTTAAAAGTTCAAAGATAATTCTTCTGCTGCCACTTAGTTTAAAGACAATTTGATGTACATAGGTCCTTACTTTCCATACAAGCAATTGTCTTTATTTCATGGGTGACTTTTGCTGGATTTCACAGTTAATTTAAAATATTCCTAAATTTATTCCTAAGTTATAAAAATTGTTACTGTAGAAAAGTTTGTCAGAAAAAATCACAGTAATGAATACTTGGGAATACACAATTTCAGGGTTACAGGTTCAGATCTGAACCCGGAATGTTTTTAATTTGCTCACAGTCAGCCCGATTCCAAAATGGTATATGTTGGGCTATGGCCTCTAGGAGTAAAGTTGAAAAAGTGTGACACACTGACATTCACATTTATTATATAGAAGTAAAACTATATTTACTAATCATATATTGTAAATGAGATGTCAGTGTTATTTTCATTTTTGTGTAATTTAGATGACAAATTATTCATCATACCCTGTATAAGAATGAACAAATCAGTTATCACTCCTCACTTGTCAAAATTCAATCAATGCTTGATATTTTTAAGGTACATGTCTGATTTCTGAAATCTTTCTTTAGAGTTTAAAGAAAGAAAGAAACCCTATTATACATAACAATATTAACTAGTGGATGCGTGGATAAATTATCATATAAATTAGGCAAAAATGAAAATAATACTGACATCTTATTTTAACAAGTATATTTACCAAAATTGCACAAAAATATCTTGAAATATTAAAGTGTAAATTTGTTCAATAAAATCACAACTGGCTTCAACCACAGCCTCCAGATGACTTCAGGATCTCCAGCAACTCTTTTGGATGGTCTCCTTATTTAAGTTGGTGAATGCTGCCATAATCCTTGATTTCGGTTCATCTTTGTTGTTACAAGGAATTTTGTTGGTCTCTCATACAACTGCATCCCATACATAAGAATCAAGAAGAAGGTTGCAGTCTGGGGAGTTAGGTGGCCAGATGTAAGGGGTGATGTGGTCACAGAAATTGTCTGACAGCCATGACTGTATCTCCCTGCTTGTGTGGCATGGGCCAGAGTCCTATTGCCAGCCATAGGGTAACACTACATCCTCAAGGCAGTTGATATAGGCCTCTGTGTTGAGTCTGAGGTCCTGTAGGAAGATGAATGGAGGCATAATGTCGCTATCACTAGTGATCATGCCAAACACCTTCGTAGTCACCATTAGGCGCATCCAACTCTTTCCGAATCCTCTGAAATGTTTGCATTGGAGCTTCCAGCATGAATGCCAAGCAGTACAGCATGTCATTTCCAAATTTCTGATGGAATGAATTTCATCATAGTGTTCTTTTTCTCAGACAGTGCCCTACTGACCATACTATACTCCATAGTCAACAAAATTAAAAACACATGTATACACAAAACTAAAAATATATAATGGCGACAATTTACCCATCGCATCCTGTATTTGTGTAATAGACTTTGTAAAATTTATTTTAATTATTATTCATAGTAACATTGGTTAATGAATTTACTTTTCTGACTAGTTTTCATACTCTGTCATCCCTGTTTATTACGTCACAGAAATTTCCGCCACACCTTATGAATCTTCGACATAAAATGAATTTAAATCATATTCTGATAGTTTTTTTTTTCATTCTTTTTCTTCTCATGACTCCTTCATAAATGTAACAGATACCATTATCAACAGATAATGCCAGTTTATCATTATATTAGTAGTTCACCAATTAATCGGCTGATAAGCCTTTGCTGATTAATCAGTCATCAGCTTGTTTTTTGTTTGTTTTTTTGTTTTTTTTACTTCTCCATTAGCAAGTATTGTGCACCTAGTCAGAATCATACTCACATCATAGCCCAGAAGAACTTGTCAAATAGACTAGCTTGTTAACTGTTACAACACATTGAGGTACCCTATAGTCTGACATGAGGTACATGCCATTCAGTGGCATAGCTAGAATGTGTGCTGCTCAGAACCTCCTTTGAGTTTTCTGCCCACACAAAAAATACATACTGCACAGTGACTTACTCTTAAAGTTGTAAAACAAGTTTGTGTACCATTATAATATTACTTTTACATATTCAAATATTCTTAAACCTTATCAGTAACAGTTAAAAAGCAAAAACAGCATATAGTGAAAAAGTGTAAAAAAAAAAATAGGACTACCTTTGTCTGAAATGAAAATTACAGCTTTCTACAAAGTAACTTTTCTTGCATTTCTGTTGGCAAATTCTTCAATGACATTGTCAAAAACTATTTCATCTGTCAATTGTCATTCTATAGACAATAGATAGGACAATATATATGCTTTGGTTACTTGAAATTGAAAAGATCCTTCAATCATGAGTACTATCCTAGCATTAAAACCACTTTTATTTCAATACAGCCTATACAGATTTATGACCTACAGCAGGCACAAAAGTGCCCCCCCACCTTCCACACACACACACACACACACACACACACACACACACCTCTAGTTACACCACTGATGCCAGACTGGTTTCATGATGTTGCCTGGATGATACTGAGTGTCTTATGATATGCAGTTTTTAGATCACCTTTCATGCTGGGGCCACACCAATTAATAGGCAATGGGTTTTATAAGCCATTGCCAATTAATCGGCTATCAGCATTTCCATTAATCAGTTTTCATACTCTGTCATTCCTATTTATTAAATTCCAGAATTTTCTCTCATCTTAGATATAGAACGAATTTAAATCATATTGTGATGGTTCTTCCCCCGCTTCTTTTTTTTTTTTTTTTGTCTGTATTTATTAAGATTAATTAAATTATTAACTTTTTTATTTCCATGTATCAGAATTAGAAAAAGCGAGGACGTCAGAGTTAAATCAAACCAGGAAACAGTAGTATTAAAAAGTGCTCCATACACGTGTGAAAAAAATAAAATAAAAGTAAAAAATAACATGTAGAGCTTTTAACTTTAAAAAACAGGAGATCAGTTAAATCCGCTACCTTTGTTTTAACTTTACGATATCCTCAGGCAATTTTTATCAATTGACCTCCCAACGCTTTATTTTAAAAAAATAAAAAGTAATGAACACTATATTATTTTTCTTATCCTTCATTCTTTACATTCTCCTCCCTTTCTATCACACCCAATGTCATGCATTTGTTTATTTGTTTTTTTAAAAATAATATAGCGTTCATTAATTTTATTCTTTTTTTTTTTTTTTTTTTTTTTTTTTTCTTAAATAAATCATTGGGAGGTCAATTGATAAAAAATGCCTGGGATAATGTAAGGTTGAAACCAAAGTAGTGGATTCAACTGAGCTCCTTATATATATATATATATATATATATATATAAATATAAGTTAATTTTTAAAATTTACTTTTTCTCCTTTCAGTTTGGGATCCAGCCAATTAAAATCCCCACACCATTTATCATGGATGTGTTTACAAGAATACCTGAAGTTGGAAATTTACACATTAAAGGTAACTTTTTATTATTATTATTATTAAATAGTTCTTTATGTGACTAAATGTGTGATTCACTTTTGAAAGTGGCCTTTAGCCTTTTCTGCTTGATTTTCTGGAAACCAAATTTGTTTATTGATAATGTTATCAGCTACAAAACAAGGTTAAATTACCCACCATCCTCCTTTTTTATTTTTCATTTTTTAATGTATATTTAGCATATTGTTTTGAACTAGTTATCACTGTACTGAATGGAATAAGAGGGTATGGTGGTTCCAACTATCAATAGCAGTTGGTGCTTGTTAAATGCACACTGTAGGGCCTATCCTGGCTTGGAGATAGGAGTTACTTCTCTGTAAAATGTTTTGAATTAGACATAGTGTTGGTTCAAATTCCAATTGTATAGGAACAATTGCGAAAAAGATACCCTCCCCAAATTTATAGACAAATCCAACAGTTGCATGCTGGGATTTGTTCCTAACACTAAAAAAAAAAAAAAATGAACTACTTCTCCCTCTCATCATCCATATTTTTGTTTTGAAACCAGAACACTATAACCACTTTATTGTATCTGTTTTGTGTGTGAACACATTTCTTACTTTGAAGTTTTTGCTTTATTACTTACTGTTGCTTTGCCTACTTTTCTCATACATATATAAATTATTTGCCTAGTATTATTTTGCTCTGTTCTTTTTCTTTCTTTTCTTATTGTCTATTGGAAATTTTGTCAATTCTGTTTGAGCATTTTGCCAATTCCATTTAACCATGGACAATAAATCCACACATAATCAATGTAAGAAATTAAATAAGAAGCTATAATGGTTCTATCTATCTCTCTCTATCTATTTCTATCTCTCTCTATCTATTTCTATCTCTCTCTATCTATTTCTATCTCTCTCTATCTATTTCTATATCTCTCTCTATCTATCTATCTCTCTCTCTCTATATCTATTTCTCTCTCTATCTATTTCTCTCTCTCTCTATCTATTTCTATCTCTCTATCTATTTCTATCTCTCTCTATCTATCTCTATCTCTCTCTATCTATTTCTATCTCTCTCTATCTATTTCTATCTCTCTCTATCTATTTCTATCTCTCTCTATCTATTTCTATCTCTATATCTCTATCTCTCTACCCACCTGTATCTATCTTTATATAGCAGTAGGTACTACTTAAATGCACACTGTATGACCTATCCTGACTTGGAGGTAGAGCTTACTTCTCTGTAAAATGTTTTGAATTAGACATAGTCACTGTAACAAATGAAATAAGAAGCTATGGTGGTTCCATGTCAGCAGAGGCAGATTTTCTTCATTTCACACTGTAAGGAATGAATAGTTCTGAAGTTATGTTGAAACTATTCTGTATATTTTTTCATTAATAGTTGCAGTCTGACATCTGCCCAAGCCTTTCATTTTTATTTCTTCACAAGAAAATATTGGCAAACTTGGACCTTTGTGCCGGCAAAAACACAAAGTGCCAAAAGGACCATTTTTTTTTTCCATTGACACCACCATTATTTTAACTACCTTCACTCCTTGGTAATGTTTGTTTTAAAATAATAGTGGCCAAAATATGAATTGTTTTGACCTTAATTTACATATATTGATAGATATTCCTTTTTACTTCAAATGTTATTTTAGTGTGTACCCATGATTCAGTCAATAGGAGCTGAAGCCTCTTTTTTTTTTTTTTTTTTTTTTTTTTTTTTATCATTTTTGTACTGAAAATGACCACAGATCATCTTTTTACTTTTTTTTTTTTTCTATAGGATTCCGAAGTTGATTCCCTCAAGCGAGATGTTGAGTTCCGAATGCTTCTCTCTGATGCATCCTGTGCCACAGATTCTAACACCATTCAGGTGAGGCAGAAAATTTCCACCAAAGAAACATTTGTATCACCGACTTGTCAATCCTACCAAATTTGCTTGGTAAAATTTGATTCCAAGAAAAAACAATTATAACGCTCAATGTAAATATAAACAACTTCAAATAAAATGTAATTTTTTTTTTTTTTAATTTTATTTATATGCATTTGCTCGCATGTCATGTTTGGCAGCCTCTGCTCAATGTCGAGTCACTTCTTATTTATAAAATTTATAATTACAAGTGCTGATTATCACTAAACATTATCATCATTATTATTTTTAAAAAAAAAGTATCTTCACTTTCACTATGGCTGATGAAATAAAAAAATGCAGATAAGTCAAGGAATCTTTTTTTTTTTTTTTTTTTTTTTTAAGAAAATCCAAAGAAATGATTTGAGATTATGATAGGTAAATTTTACTTACTGGATTGACTCAAGTTAAATTCAACTTATCAAACCAAATTAACCTTTTCTAATTAATTCTTTTCCGCCATTACACATTGTGACATTACAGTTCTTTTACTCGTAGTAGAGTAAAAGAACTGTAATGTCACAATGGCATTACAGTTTGTTTTACTCTCAAACACTTCATAACATAACAGATTTTTTTTACGCCACTGCACTCATGACATTGCAGTTTTTCTTAACTCTGCTACACATCATAACATTGCAGTTTTTCTTAACTCTGCTACACATCATAACATTGCAGTTTTTCTTAACTCTGCTACACATCATAACATTGCAGTTTTTGTTTACTCTGCTGCACTTTGTGAATTTACAGTTCTTTTGCTTCACTGCACTTCATGACATTGCATTTTTTTTTTACTCTGCTACACATCATGACATTGCAGCTTGTTTACTTTGCATTACTTTGTGACACTCCAGTGATCTACTCAGCTTTTATTGGTGGGAACATTACCCATCATGCAACAAACTCATCCCATGCAGTTATTCCAGTCCTCCTACAAGTCAAACATGTCTCTTTTGTTCACAGACATTTTGTAATTACATCATACTATGAAAAATTTAAAAGACCTGCATATTCTCTGATAGATAATAATTGACTTGTCTACCTTTTATATACATTCCAAAATCAAAGAAAAATATTCTGAAAAGCATCTGGCCTCAAGGATTTCAGGGAAGAAATTGTACCTTTAGTAACAGACTGGTATGTGTTGTAGAGTAGTTTTCACAGTGGAGGCTTGTATTTCACTAAGTTGGTCCTAAAATAGGTTCGACGTACAAACGTTAGGAACTTGATATAATAGGTAATGACGCAGAGAAATCTAGTGGTGGTCGCTGATACTTTTAGTAGCCAACTAACAGTCATCTGACATCGACTGACTGACCGACCAACTCCCTGACTGACTGCTGCCCCTCGTTACTATTACTACTCCTACTTATTATAGGTGGGAGAGTCTATTAACTAAAGAATAGGTGTGTTCCACTATAACAGTATATAAGAAGGAGGATGGTGGGGAAAAAAGAGTTTTACATTGGCTTCCCCAGTGATGACTTACTCTAGAGAAACTGAAAATCAGAAAGTCGGTGGGAGGAGCGTTCAGTGGGTGGAGAAAGAAAATATGATGCATTATGGGTAGAGGAATAGGAGGAGACAATAAAAGGAATGAAGAGGAGCACTTGTGTTGGATTTTTTTTTTTTTTTTGTCTTATTCAGCAGTTGAAGCTGAAGCAAAGTCAGGAAGAGAATATGGGATGGGGGATAGAGAAAGGATTAAAGAGTGAAAGTGTGGGAATGATTTCAAAGGGGTAATGGGTTTATGCCTTTTTGAATTGATAAAAATAGATATTTTATTTTTATTTTTCTCCTTTACCCTTCAAAAGGTGTATAATTGTTTTAATGCCAGAACATCATTCTTAAGTTTAAAATATACAGACTATTAACTCTTGTTTTTATTTTAATGTTTTTGTAGGAGCTGTATATATTTCACAAACTTATTCATGCCTCTGAACAAGAACCATTGCAAACGGATGCCATCAGCCAGACATTATCACAGCGGACATGCAACTTCCTCAAAGAACTTCTCCTATCCAAGCCAGAACTCAGTAGCACCATCATCGGTCACCTGAAATGTCCAGACAAGCCGAGCCTCAAGCTCCACCACATCATGATGGACCAGGTATACATCAACTGTATCATCCGCTGCATATCGGCTCTGTCTCAGGAGGGGACAGCAGCAGTTTGTCAGCAAGATCGCTGCGAGCAGCTCTACAACATCTTATCCTTGTTTGATCCTGAGAACGAGGCTAAAGTGCTCAACCTGAGCCAGATGGTCACTGGACTTGTGCAGCTGTGTGAGAGTGATTGTCTGTCTGAGGAACGGCTCCTCTCTCTGATGGCTGGTAAGAAGAAGCCATTTCTGCTGAAGCAGCTGAGCGATGAAATTGTGGTCTGCCGCATGCAGCAGATGGTCAGTTGCAGTCCAACATTCAAGCATGCTGAACTGACTGAGAGCCAACGCCAACTACTGACTCTCTCCCTCTGTGAAGACCGATCTCAGAGCTGGCGACAGTTCTATTTTATGTGCACAAAGAATAACCAACATTGCTTTGAAATTATTATGGTGAGTTAAAATTCCATGATCGTTGTTAAAGGTAAGAAGATAGAAGGATTGGTATTCCATCAATTAATTGAACTAGTATCCTCATCTTTGTTGCATTAAAATCTCTCGCCTTATTAATGTTGTCTAAAGTTCTCGGATGAAGTATTGTCATTATTCCATGAATTATTCAGACTAGTATCCTCATCTTTGTTGTATTCAACTCTCCAGCCTTCCTAATGTTGTCTAATGTTCTCAGATGAAGTATTGTCATTATTCCATGAATTATTCAGACTATCTGTGTTGTATTCAACTCTCCGGCCTTCCTAGTATTGTCTAATTGCTAATATTTATTTCATTTTTTGAAAATTGCCAAATTTATTGTTTAATCAGCATTCTTTTCCTTACGACAAAATGTATTTCACTTAATTATTTAAAATCAAAATGTGAACTGGCAACAGGATATTCCACCTCAATACTTAAGGTACCAATCGGCTAAAACCAGTTGCTGCATATATAATATCTTAGAGAATATCTGCAGTTTTAATTAACACATTCAGTACTCCTGTCTACATTTGTATAATACCACCTATGTTTTTGTTAGTGTTACCATTTAGAAATTCCTAACGGGAATATTTAAGACCTTACATGGTCTTTTTTTTACTTACTTAAAAAGCAATGAATCTGAAAAAACAACAATAACACTGAGAAATTCTTTATTATTTAAAGAAATGAAAACACTGTGAATGGATGTACATGTACAACATGCCTCAAGATACACATGTACGTCACATGCCAGTAAACTAGTTAAACAATTGCTACTCAATGCCTTGAACATTTTGCCATCCAATTGCCCATTTCAGTCATCAGTTTCCTCCTCTCTCTCTTTATTCTTACTCTCTCTTTTACTCCCTTTCACTCTCTACTCGCTCACTCCCTTTCACTCTCTACTCGCTCACTCCCTTTCACTCTCTCACTCTCTTTCACTCTCTCACTCTCTTTCACTCTCTTTCACTCTCTCACTCCCTTTCACTCTCTACTCTCTCACTCACTCTCTTTACAGAATACTGCCATTCATTTGATTCGCTCAGGGAAATTTGATGAACTTCGTGACCTCTTTCATCCAGCAGAACTTCATCCACTCAAACCATTGGTGCTTCTCACTGGGTGGCCATACTGTTACACCTGCACCAATGCTAAGCGGCTACTTGAAATCCTTTGGGATAATAAGGTAAGAAAATCTCAGTATGTCAGTTTTATACAAAAGTTCTCCTTACTGTTTGCACTGTTAGGGAAATCTTAGAAGTGTCTTTAGCACTTTAGCTTAAATAACCAATTCGCTGTATTGTAACTATTACAAATTTAAAAAAAAAAATAATTTAAAAAATAGATTCTAAATAAACTAATGAAAAGAAACCTTGGGCTTTCTCTTCATGCTTTACAGTGAAGTCATTTCCTTTCTGTGAATTGCCATGATTTCTTAGGGAATAGAGCTTAGTGGTTTCACATTGCTTTCTCTATGGTTTTTGCCATTCAAGGTTAGATAGCTTGATCTCTGCTGCTGTTTAACCTATAGCTGGTGGGTAGAACAGATGGATCCATTTCTTTTTGAATTCCACTAAATCCACTTTGGGATGGTAGCACCTGTTAGGGTCTCAGATATGGGCAAGTAGTTAACATCCAAACTGAGGTCAAAACACTGTAAAAGTGTAAAAATAGTTTTTAATACCAGCAATACATTCTTGGAAAAAAATTATTACCAGCAATACATTATTGAAAAGAAAACAATATTACCAGCAATAACAATCTTGCCGGCATTAAATAACCCATTGATGTTGATATGCTATGAAACAAACCAAACCTGCATTTCTGTTTAGGTTGATGTTGAGAGGATGTTTTGGTTCTAGCCATAACTTTCTTCATCTTAAAATCTTGTATACATTTTATATCAGATTCCTCTATACATTGCCAGTGCCTACTGCATCCACCTCCAAGACCAGGGTGGCAAGCCTGATTGGAGACTAAAGCCTCCATAGAAAAACAGATAAATATCAATCTGTCAGTCCATGTAAACAGCTTAAATAAACAGCTACTATTTCATGTGTTTCTATGATATTTTAAACTTAAAGTTAAATAAATATTTGTTTCAAATCTGATTAATTTAAATCATAACATTCCCCAACTAAAGTTTCAGCAAAGTATATTTTACTTTTGGCAAATTTTTTAATAAGAGAATTACATTGCAAAGAAAGCTGACTAAAAAAGGGCACTAATCAACTATTTCAACAAAAAAAAACTCCTTCCAGTCAATTTAAATTAGTTTTTGAAATACAGCAAAGTATTTTGCTTCCAAGAAATTAAATTTAATCTCTTAACTTGAAATCTTACTCAGTATAAAACGCAGATTGTGTGTGTGCATGTCTGTATGTTTATATATTGGATCGGATTTCCTACATTTTTCAACCGATTTCAACAAAATTTCACAGGACTGCAAAATTACCTTGCAGTGGTTCTGACAGCGCCAAAAATTGAAAAAACACAATTGTTTTTGCACAAAATCAATTTGAAAACACGATTCTGTTGCCAGAATGAAAGGGGGACAACTCATATCGAGTTATACTTATAAAACCCAGGTTGTTTGTGTGTGTGTTCATTTATATATGGGATCGGATTTCCTACATTTTTCAACTGATTTCAACAAAACTTCACTTTTTTTTTGGCAGGTAGTGTTTCTTACTGTTTTGTACACTTTTTTCTTTATTTTTACATTCAGAATGCTTTAAAAATTCCATTTACAAGGCAATTGTTTATAATAAAATTCTGTTCAATCGATAGACTCATAACAATTGAAAACAATGTTTTTGTTTGGGTTTGACCAATTCATAAAAAAAAACTAATTACGACATGCGTGTCCGTCAACCTTAAACAATAATCTTTGTCAATTTTATTTTTCAGTCTTTATGATGGTTGATACTTGATCTATCTCTTACTGTTACATCCCCGGGCAACACTGGGCTCTACTGCTAGTTAATACTAAAATAAAGCTTCAAGAAAGATATTTTCATTTTTAAAAATGTATTTTAAACCTTAGGTATTGTTTTTTTGTTTTTTTTTTTTTGTTTTTTTGTGGAGGTCCCTATTACTATATATGAATGCAAAATAACAATTTTTTTTTTTTTTTTTTTTTTTTTTAAACATAACATACAAAAGATAACAAATTAAATGATGATAATTTTTGCATCATAATTTTTTGTCAAATAGTGTCACAAAGTCAACAGAATTGTCTGGTTAGAATTTTAAAAATAAACAAATCCTTCTAAAGTTTACTCCAACTCTATACTTCTAATCAACATCTTCATTAATGTTTTTCACTAGTTAAATCTTGACTTCTTCAAGTTTTTAATTAGCTGTTGTCTTTCCTGCATAGCCCTGAGAACTCCTTTCCCTTTCTTACACTAATCCAACTCCAGACAGTAGCACTTTACCTTGAGTGGCTCTCAGTCCTGTAACCTCTCCCTCCCAATCATCAATCCTAATCAGCAGTAACCAATAATGTCACACCACTGTTAGCCTTCAAGTTCCTTCAGAACGCCATAGTTACCATTTAGCTGACTCTTCACTTGTTAGTGCATGACTCGTTGTCACTGGTATTGTGACAATATGCACGGTTCCATTCAACCTGGCTGGCGTTTGTCTGTTCACGACCATTCACTCTACTGCCACATTGTGTTTTTGATCTCAGAGGGTAAGATTATCACTCTTAAAGAAAACTGAAGTGAAGACGGTTCAACAATTCAGGAGCTACAAAAAACAAGAATCCTTTGGAGTAAAGCATTAACTCTGGTTAAAAATGTAACAATAAAATTTTTCTTTGGATGAATATCACCAAAATTATTATGATCAACACATCCATCCATGTATCACTGTGGGTATATTTTTCTTTTGGGTAGCTGATATTTTTTTTTCTGGCCCTGTCTGTCCAGAGGAATCGTGCATGTTAATCATTTTGGTGACCACCTTGGTTTTTTTATCATTAACATATTTTTTTTTATTTTATCTGACATCTTCATGGATATTTTAATGGTCTCTTTCTTATTGGCAGGAAGTGGGGAAGGACAGGTATCGTGATTTTGCTCAATCTTACTGAATTCCATCTAATTAAATTTGGGTTCTATTCTCTTCGGAATTATTTCAAAAATATGATTTTTCAATGCTTTTTGTTTTTAATTGGCTTCTCAACTTTTCAATCCATCTTCCTGTAATTTCAACAATTATCATCCAGTTAGTAGACTCTCCTTTTCCTCCTCCTCCTTTTTTTTTTTTTTTTTTTTTTTTCTGGTTTGGTCAGCCTCCAGAGGTCTCAATATCACAGGCCTTGTATTAGGTGAACATTAGTAAATGAATAAATAATTTTATTTACTGTGTCTTTTATTACAGACACCATGCCGACATCCTGCTCTGGACAAAGGTTGTCAGAAATTACAACACCAAATAAATCTAATTCAGTGGTGCTTAGAGAAATCAAGGTCAGTCATTTTTTTGTTTTTGTTTTTTATAGTCTTTCATCAGTTTTTATGCACGACTCAACAAGAGTTACTTGCCCTTGGCATAGAAGACATTTTTTTAAAGTTTTTCAAATTATTATTGTTTAGTTGTGTCTTTAGTTTCAACTGACAATTCTTCCTGCCGTAATAAAAGATGTGACTTTTATTTTTCTTAAACTACAATTTAATATTGATGAGCAACTTTCTCTTCTGTTTTGACACTTTTACATGATTTTCTTTTGACAAAAATAACTGAAAAAAAAATTCAATTACATGAATCATTTTTAACTAAATTTAGGATTTCTATGCAATACATTCAATTTATGTATCAACTATTACAGTTAAGACTTTAAATATCATATGCAAAGTTTTATTATGGCTTTAAAAACTGATATTTTAAGGGCATATATATTCACACAATAATATAATACTGTATATGCTGTCATACACAAGGCGACTGGGTGTATAAGACAACACCTAAATCTTTAAATTTAAAATATAGGTTTGGGTTTATATTTGCCGTACAAGACAACCATGCTCCCAAATCATAATTTAAAATGTATTGAATTTATTAAATAAATTCAATAAGCATATACTTTCTTTTCACTCAAATTCTAATTTTAAAAAACTGTAGCGATATTGTCAACTACCACAATCTACAATACCTCATGAGTGGGTGCTAGGTTATTATGATAGCCTGAATGACTTTTCCTTGCTAAACATCAACTTGTTCCACTGTTATTGAATGCGATCTTTAAGCAGCTTGTTGAAACACACATCCAGTTGTGTTTTTGTCCGTCATCGAAAAAAAAGGAGGCGAGATATCGTCAATTAACTACCACAATCTACATTTAGTTTAATCTACCCAGTATACTTACCACTACATGGTAATGATAATATGATCAGCTGCTGTAAGCATAAATACTGGTAACGTCACTTTTTAAAAAAAAAAAAAAAATATATAAATATAATAATGTGAATTATGTTATGTCAGTGGAAAATATTTGTGTCAATCACTACCAAAGCAGGGGTTAGCCAACAGTCAAAAATCTCCCATGCTAACAACCTACCATAAACCTCAGGATTTAAGGCTCACCTTTTATACCAGGAGTATAAGACAGCCTCTTATGGCGGGGGGGGGGGTCTTTTAAGGTTAAAATATATTAAAACAAAGGAGGTGGAAGAAAAAGGATGTTGATAGTGTGGTGGAGCTTCAGGGTTAAAATGAACAGTTCATTTACCCTATGCCAAGAAGATTAATGAAGGACGATAATGACCAGGAAAAACGTGGGTTATTTTTAACAAAACAAGATAAAGAATTTATTCACAAATTTATATGCTTGAAGTAGTGTCAGTAGCTTGTTTCAAGAAAGTAGATGAGAATTCTCAAAGTCTATAGTTTTAACATATTGTCATTAAGTGGAAATGTTCATACAACAGATTAAATGATCTGACACAAAATAATATTTGAAAATGTTTCAAACAGGTAAGAGAATTTGTTGTACACAGAAGGCATATATGGTTACATACATTCAAAAGTAGAAGAAGGAGGATAGTTTGAAATAGCTTTCTTGGATTGTTGAGAGAAAATTCTTTGAAGTGCCACGTTCTTGGTTAGAGACCGATAATATAATTGGCCAATAATTTTACACTGGTGAGAACTTCAACGCTGGATGCGATGAACAGAAATGAGACCTTTCACATGACTTCAGACACTCTTCTTTTGTTAATTTAATTTTTTTCCCTCATTTTTATATCAAAAAGAATTTCATATAGGCTCACTACTTTTCTTTGCTTCTTCTTGGCTGACCAGCTAATTTCTCTGAAGACAAAATTTCATTGGTCCAAAGAAAATTTCATATTGGCTCGCAAATTCCTTTCCCTCTTTTTACTCGGTCCTTTGAATTTGAAGTGGGTGGGTGAAGAGAGTTATTATTTCACACTCACTGCATATCCATGCTCTTCCTTCCACTTTGTTTTAATATATTTGTATATATTAGATAAATTTAGATACTATTTTAAACTTAAAGCATTGTTAATTTTTATTGATACATTTCTTTAATTTCAATTACCTTTCACTGTAATTATCTCATTGTCTTGTTGTGGGCATCACCTGTTGTGAGGTGTGTACATTTTTTTCAGTAAATATTTACAGGCTCCTGGAAAATTTGTCTTGCAAACAGTATTTGTCAGACTCTCATGAGTCCCCGGTTCTTTCGATACATGACAGATTTTTTTCCTGCAGTAGGTTGCCATTTCTTTCTGCAGTAGACCAGTTGCCATCCAAGGCTATAGAACCCGGTCTGTCCTGCTATTTATCCATAGCTGGCGGGGAGAAGAAGAGGATACATACCTTTCCCAAGGGTATTAGCACATAAGTGAATGCAATGGATTCGACTGGAATTTGAACTCGGCTCACCGATTCCTCAATCCAAACTGCTATCCACTACTCCATCATGCCTCCTTTATCACTTGATAATCTAAGTTTGTATAATGTAAATAATAATAATTCTTCATCCTAAAAATTCAGAGAAAAAATATTGATTACATGCAAAATTTCTTATTTCCAGAGCATGTATCATCTTTTATGTTGTAAAATTGTTTGATGGACAAGTCCAAATCATGCAAAACTCTTATTAATTGAATACTTATTACATTACAAGCATTGTTTTCAGCATTGCTTTAATTAGGAATCACTTAACTTGTTTTGAACTGTAAAATGTAATATGCATTGACTTTTCTATACAAGGTTTTATTGATAAATAAGATCTTATAAAACAGATTTCAAACCTGATAGAATATTGAAATTTGTATCAAATTAGGTAAATTTATTTCTCTTAAAAATTTTGAGGATTAATTGGTATTTTTGTGAGATAAATATTCCAGGAGCCTGTAAATATTTACTCTCCAAAGTGTTGATTCCCATAACCTGATGGTGACTAATATTTACCCAAATAGACTATCCGCATTGTTAAAAAAATAAAAATAAAAAAATCTCTATTAATGCCACTTGATAGGGGACCTTACTTATCAATCCGCTTTTGTAATTCCCTTATGAGCATTGTTATTAATGTTTCCTTCATGAAAAATCTGTAAATGCATGTGTTAATGATGCTGTGCTCTTTTATTTATGTAAACGACAGATCATTAGTTCACATAACAGAAGGTGATTTGTCTCCTGTGAATCCTCACTGTCAAGCCACCAACATTTTCCAAGGGCTTGTTAATCACTCAATGCTGTATGTACTTCAGCAAGCCACTCGACTTGCATCTCTCAGAGAACATGAAGTCCTTGACTTATTGCAAAGGATTTCTCTTAATAAAACAGCAGGTAAGTAAATCTTTATTTGTTTGTCTAAATGTGGCTGGTAAATTCAGTGTATCTTGGGTTTTGAGATATATATATATATATATATATATATATATATATATATATATATATATATATATATATATATATCTCATTTCATCCCAAGCAAGGTGAGAATGACACTAGTATGCAGGGGGTTACAGGGATTGAATGAAAATACTGAGAATAAGGAGGATTAAGGAAAGAACAAAAGATGCAGAAGATGGTGATTGATGTCACATTTAAATTTTTAAAGATTGTAGTTATCAGGGAAGCAAGTAAACAGAAAGGAGTTCCACAGGTGGGAAGTGCGAGAAAAGAAACTGTTGGAGTAGAAGTGGAGATTGCATTTAGCTATTTCAACAGTAAAAAGGTCAGACCTAGTTGCCAATCTAGTAGTATTCTTAAATACATGTAGTCGAGGCACTGGGGGGGGGAGCTCATCAGAGCAGTTGCCATGAAAATATTTGTACAAAAGACAGAGGAAAGCCACTTCACCCCAGTGAGAAAGTGACTGAAGCCAAATTGTCTGTTAAGGATCAATTGACTTTGAGAAAAAAAAAAAAATTTACTAACATTTACCAGCGATCTTATTTCAGTGTCTCCCCCAACATTTTTAAAGAAAAGCAGAGTGGGGAGAGAAAAACAAAATAGGCAAAAAGAAAATTTTTTTTTTTTTAACTATTATTCACCTGGATGTGCAATTTGGCATCAACTTGGAAGCTGACTTCATAATTTCCAACCAGCTTTGGTCTTCAAAAATTTAAATGCAATGTCAATTGCTATCTACTGTCCTCTTGATTACTCTTCTTCTTTTCTCATTCCTTAGTAATGTTTCTGTTTCTAATTCTTCCACACCTTGTAATCCCTGGCATCTTAGTGGATTTATTGCTTTGCTTGTGGTGAACTAGATTTAAAAAAAAAAATATGAACTTTGGAAAATTTTTCAAAGTTCATTTTTTTTTTTTTTTTTTGATAAATTTGATAGACAGAACTTTAATTATTATTCAACCATACATATTTGAAAAAAAAAAAAAATTATATATATATGTGTGTGTTTGTGTTTGTCTGTGCATGCTGTTATTAGGCAAGTCAATGTTTTCATATTAAAATTGGTACTGCGGTATCTTATTTAGATTCCTGTATCAATTGTTCCAAATTGGGTGCATGGTCAAGTGATTAGAACATTAGTATTCCAATCATGAGATCAGGATTTAAATCTCATCATGGTCATTTTGTCAAGGAGGTGACTTCTTGATAAGATGATCCCCAGCATGCATCACTGTTGGTAAGTGCCTGAAAACTATATTGCGAGTGCCTTTATGAAATTGGCATGGGAAAATTTTCAGAATCCATTAATGAGTGTGTTAGCACAAAGTCATTGTGACCATTGTACTGGCCTTTCCCAGATACCATAACTGAGGTCCACTCCGCATATTTGCAGTATAAACCAAAGATTGAGTTTGTGCTTGAGCAGACATCTGCAAAATGGATTAGCTGGCAACCCTACCTGACAGGCATACTACTTTCTTGTATTCTTGTTAGGAAACTTTTTTGAAAAAGTCTGTTACAAAATCTTATCTCAAAAAAAAATTCAAAATTTTTCTGTTGTTTTAAAAGCACAAAATTTAAAAAACTCAAAAAAAAAATAATGAATAAAATTTTTAAAATAAAATAATTAAAAAAGTGTCAAACAGTTAAAACAAAATTTGACTGAAAGAAAATTCTAAAATCAAGTATGTAAAAAAAAAAAAAAAAAAAAATTAATGTAAAAAAAATCAAACAATAATAGCATCTTAGTTAAAAAAAAAATTAAAACAAAATTTTTCAATTTATTGATTTAATAACACAAAAATTAAAATTTCAAAATATTAGCTGTAAGAAAAAAATTTTTTTTCTTAATTTAACTGTTGAATTTTTTTTGCTTTTAGAAAATGATGCCAAAAAGACAAAAATGGTACGTTTTGAAGATGTTGAAGATGACTCTGATTCTGCCAATGAGCTGTTGGGAATCGACCAGGAACGAGACGTGGCACTTTACCGAAGTTTCTGCATCTTGAAGAATGTACAAGACACTATCCTCTACGGAGCCATGCATGCCCACTCGAAGCTGATGAATCCAACATATTACAACATCCAGAGCTCATCCCGACACCGCAGCTGGAGTAAGGACAGTACCCTCAGCGATGCCAGTGAGAGCAGCAGCCGAGTGTCCTCTTCTGCTACGGGTGACCGTGGCTCAGAATATTTTCAGTGGTGCTCTGAATTCACCAGTGGGGACGTTCAGATCCTCTATGACAAAAATGTCACCCAGAAATTGCAGAATGTCAAACAACACCTTCTCCATCTTTACCCACTCGCATATCGGGTAGAAATCTTGGAGAATATATTTTCTCTGTTGTTTGTCAGCCACAAGGACCTGCAAGATCCTTTCTTTGCTGGCGAGACTGATGATACTGATGGCAGTGACGAGAAGCAGAGTGTTCATGGTAGTAATGAAAACTTGATGAATGCAAGCATACAATCTGAAGAAGAATCCCTGGTTTCTGATACTACATGCCTCACCCCATTGGCCGAGTGCACAGTCCCGGCCAGAGGGAGTGAAAGTGTTGATTATGATGTCCCTTTTGTCGACGAGTTCTCCGCCAAGGAGCAGGTTGTTATTGAAAATTCCGACTTCATTGAGACGGAAGTTTTTACAGATAACAAGCCCTTAGTGGGAGAGACTGCAAAGTCCGTTGTGAGAGAGACAGCTCCCGAAACCACCTTACCAAGGTTCAGCACCGATTCCAAGAGCGACGCTCACAGCCCAAAGGTAAAAACAAATGTTTTATCTGGGAAGCCGTTACAGATTGGGCTCTTAACAAATGAATATCTGGTGCGTGACATCCTCGGTCTTCTCCAGGAGAGCCTGATTGCTCTGAGCTCGGCTCACTTCCAGCTGATTGCAAATGGATCGAACGAGATGGAGGACAGTTCCCATGCCGCTTTCCTTGAAGAGAATTTGACTCAGATCTTACCGTCGAGTATCACCCCAGCTACATTGAAATCCCGGATCTCCAGACTTTCGCAGGTGGTCAGTGAGGCCCTGTGGCGCTTCCAATTAGTCAGCAATGATCAAATTCCACGTGAGTTTGGGAAAATCCTTTTGCAGCCTCTCAAACCCACCTCTGATTATACAGATGTCGAAATTGATGATGTCTGTGACTATGTGTCCACAAAGAAGAACAACAGGGTCTCTTATCTTTCTGAAGTATCTCCAATGTGTAAGTAGTCATTGTTTTGTTTTATTTTTTAATACTATTTCCTAAATTATCAACTTATCGCAAGCATACAAGCATTAACTGAGTATGGTACAAGGCAACAAGTGTAAGTACCAAGAGAAGATTGAACTCACAACTGCTTCTCCATTTTTCTATACCTTGTAGAGGTACAATTATGTGTCATTTAATATACAAATGCCAAACACCTAAAAATGCAATGAGATAAAGCAGGAAGTGTGCTGCTGTTTTATTGTTCACCATATACAAGGCTTAAGAGCCACTTATTGTAGAGGATTACAGAATAAGATTATTATACAGACATAAGAAGGTCAGGAGTGCAGAAGCATGAAAGTAACAGACAAAGAAAAAATTTAAGATGTAGAAAACAAAAAAAAAATATGAAAGGATTGTTTGCACATTTGCTTTCTTTCGTGCTTTCTTTCGTCCTTTCTTTCTTTCTTTCTTTCTCGCTTTCTCTCGTGCTCTCTCTCTCCTCGTGCTTTCTCTCTCTCTCTCCTCGTTCTTTCTCTCTCTCTCTCTTTCTTTCTTTCTCTCTCTCTCCCTCAGGCTTTCTCTCCCCTCTCCTCGTGCTTTCTTTCTCTCCCTCTCCTCCTCGTTCTTTCTCTCTCTCCCCTCTCCTCGTTTCTTTCTCTCTCCCTCTCCTCGTGCTTTCTCTCTCTCCCCTCTCCTCGTGCTTTCTCTCTCTCCCTCTCCTCGTGCTTTCTCTCTCCCCCTCTCCTCATGCTTTCTCTCTCCCCTCTCCTCGTGCTTTCTCTCTCTCCCTCTCCTCGTGCTTTCTCTCTCTCCCTCTCCTCGTGCTTTCTCTCTCTCCCTCTCCTCGTGCTTTTCTCTCTCCCCCTCTCCTCGTGCTTTCTCTCTCCCCCTCTCCTCGTGCTTTCTCTCTCCCCTCTCCTCGTGCTTTCTCTCTCTCCCTCTCTCCTCGTGCTTTCTCTCTCTCCCTCTCCTCGTGCTTTCTCTCTCTCCCTCTCCTCGTGCTTTCTCTCTCTCCCTCTCCTCGTGCTTTCTCTCTCTCCCTCTCCTCGTGCTTTCTCTCTCTCCCTCTCCTGCGTGCTTTCTCTCTCTCCCTCTCCTCGTGCTTTCTCTCTCCCCTCTCCTCGTGCTTTCTCTCTCCCCTCTCCTCGTGCTTTCTCTCTCTCCCTCTCCTCGTGCTTTCTCTCTCTCCCTCTCCTCGTGCTTTCTCTCTCTCCCTCTCCTCGTGCTATCTTTCATGCTTTCTATCTTTCATGCTTTCTATCTTTCATGCTTTCTATCTTTCATGCTTTCTATCTTTCATGCTTTCTATCTTTCATGCTTTCTATCTTTCATGCTTTCATCTACCTTTTGAATCAATCTGATAATACAGGTGGCACTACTATTGGTGTAAATATCAGTGTGTAGGTAACCGACTGTTTAGTCTCTGACTAAATATTATTCAAATATTTGTATGTTATCCACTGTTCCCAACAATAAGAACAAGAATTAATCATATTTATAACATAATAGACTCTGGTTGGGCCTAAAATTTAGATTTATTAATTACAAGCTTATTGGTTAATATGTATTTTTAAATATTCCCTTTAAGGAAGAAAAATATTGTTGAACATATTTTCCATCTAAAATATTTTACTGTCTGCCAATTCAAAGAATACCATGCGTCTTGTACGTCGTTAGTTGGTTAATATATATGAGTACGAAGATTCAAATAATTGGTACCTGTCAATGCACAAAAATTGACTTACTTTTTGTGTGATGAGTTTTCAGTACTTAAATCTGTTAACATTTTTCCACAATTTTGAAACAGGGCACCAAAGATGCTTTTGATATGCTGTTTAATGTAGCACATGTCATAATTGTCTTGTATTTAGTGTTGAACCTTATTTATTATGATTAAATTACAAGTTTTATACCAATTAATAGATCTGGTAGTAATAAGGCAACTTGTAACTGTTGACATTGGGTGGCAATTATTCACACCACAAACAAGGAGATATAAAAAAATATCCTTTTTTTTTTTTTTTTTTTTTTTTTCCCTCTAACAGCTGGAGAAGACAGTGAAACTCGGGATTCTACTGGGACATGCACGGATAGCACTGGACTCTTGAAGCCAAGCAAGAAGTTAGTCAAGAGGTCCCGGCCCCGGCCCCGCACTCCTAGCATGTCTTCAGCTGCTTCGGTCAGCAGACGTCTCTCTTCAGGCATAATTCAAGAGATGCTGCTGTCCAACCGTGCCTTACTCATCAAATGCCTGAAACAAGGAAAGCTTGTTGAAGCTAACCAGGTCATCAAGGTAAATTCATTGCTTCTGTTTTGTTTTTAGAAGATGGCGGGAGTGGTTAAAAAAAATAGTTTATTTTTTAAGTTAATTCTGTTATTTTAGTTTATTCTTGTACTAATTGGTGATTTTGTGTCATGTGAAGATGACAATACATAAAACATACTCGGTTCTCAAGATATTCAGAACGGCTGAATACTTTCCAGGTGAAATTTATAATAGAGAATTTTTTTATTATTTTTTTCTTTGTTTTTCTTTTCCCCTCCTCTTTCCACCTTTTTTCTCTTTTTTTCCACCTTTTTTTTCTTTTTTCCACCTTTTTTTTCTCTTTTTTCCACCTTTTTTCTCTTTTTTTCCACCTTTTTTTTCTTTTTTTCCACCTTTTTTCTTTTTTTTTTTTTTTTTCCACCTTTTTTCTCTTTTTTTTTTTTTCCACCTTTTTTTTTTTTTTTTTTCCACCTTTTTTTTTTTTTTTTTTTTTCCACCTTTTCTCTTTTTTTTTTTTCCACCTTTTTTCTTTTTTTTTTTTTTTCCACCTTTTTTCTCTTTTTTTTTTTCCACCTTTTTTTTTTTTTTTTTTTTTTTCCACCTTTTTTCTCTTTTTTTTTTTCCACCTTTTTTCTCTTTTTTTTCCACCTTTTTTCTCTTTTTTTTTTTTTTTTTTTTTTTTTTTTTCCTTTTTTTTTTTTTTTTTTTTTTTTTTTTTTTTCCAATTTTTTTATTTTTTTTTTCCACCTTTTTTTTCTTTTTTTTTTTTTTTCACCTTTTTTCGCTTTTTTTTTTTTTTTTTTCCACCTTTTTCTCTTTTTTTTTTTTTCCTTTTTTCTTTTTTTCCACCTTTTTTCTTTTTTTTTTTTTTTTTTTTTTTTTTTTTTTTTTTTTTTTTTTCTCTTTTTAACTCAAATTGGTTTTTATTTCTTGCAGTTATTCAAAATGGAGGAATCAGCCGAGGTGGCTGAAGTTGGGTTCCTGGAGGCATTCTCTAAAGCTGTCAAGCAAATGCAAGCTCTTTGCAGCCAGGGTAACCAGGGTCCCTCAATGCCGGAACGACTCCCTATGAAGGACACCATGAAACAACTGGCCAGTGTTGCAGCTGCTGGCATAGCCACAGCAACAATTTCAACCTGTGCCGATGAACTGCTCTCCATTCCTGTCTTGCCTTTTCTCCCCAAACCGAAAAATATTGCCAATTTGACTCCAAACTACGTAGCATTTTTCAACCCTGACAATTTGTCTGCCATGATCCTTTTTGATCTTGCTTGTAGTGCAAGCTGTACTTATGGGACCTCCAACATGCTGCTTGATTCGATCCAGTCTCGGATGCTTGCCAAAAAGAAATCACAACTTGGAAAGGAATTTGGCCCTGAAAGTAAATCTGGTAAAGAATGTAAGGTTGGTAATATACTGTATTTAGTTATATTATAACAGGATGGTGGTAACACTGTTTCAGCATTTTATTGCCTGGGGGATATAGTTGGGGTGGGGGTGGTTAAACCCCTGGTTCACCGTTTTACTGTCTGAGAGATCTAACGGGGTGGTAACCCTGGTTCACCATTTTAATACATAAGATTTCTTGACGATTTGAAGTAGGATATAATTAAAATTAAAATGGGAGAAAACTCAGAGAATCTAATTAAACATCAAGGAGAAAAACAAAAGAATGAATTAAAACTAATAATTAGAAGCCATACAATGAGTTTGTAGAAGGCTCTGGGAATATTTGAAGCTGAAATAAACCAAGTCGAATGGTCCGAATGTCTTGTCACCCCCTTACCTCTCTCCCAAACTGTATGAGCTTGTGTCAGCCATCTGAAATAGAAAATTATATGATATTGGGGTGACAAGACTTTCAGACCACCCAGACCCAGTTCTTTCAGATTTATGGTCTGAAATTTCCAAAATTCCAAAGCATAATTCTTGCTTATTTAAAACATCAAGCCCATTATAGCTTACAATGTCTATAGTATAGGGCTTTTTGAATAAAGCATCCCACAAGGATCATCTTGTGTTCAAAACATTCTCATGGTATCTTATCAAAAAACAGGTAATTAATCAATCCCAAAGGTTTGTGACAAAATTATCTGTCTAGTTTAATCATCCTCCTTCTGTTACTGCTCTGGGGTTACTCCATTTTTTTTACAAATTTATACTATAATAATTCAAGCTACATAGAAAGACTTAACACTTATTCCTTATATACTTTTGTAAATTCTTCAATTTATTAACATTCCACCTATTGTCAAATGCCAACAGAGTTTATTGGTCATTACCATGAAATGAGTTTTCAGCAGAGAAGTTAATATGGTTGCAATGATATCACACTTGAAATCTCCACAGAATTGCAACAGCCCTGAAATAAAATCCTCATAGAATCTGGTTACCTTCCAACTTGCTGATGTTGACATGCAATGTCTATGAAGATTAAAACCATCAAGTGACAACACCAAAAATACTACATTTTCGTAACATTGAACCAGGCAGTGACAGAAGAAATGCCGCCAAAACAAACACCAGCAATGGTGTCTGTCCAGCCAGTTGGGGGTTATATATATATATATATATATATATTATGAAATGGATTAAATCCAACAAATATTTTAATATATTTTCTGTTTATACATTTTTTTTTTATATTTGAGTAAATGCTCTGTTTGTTTTAAAATTAAAAAAAGACAATATGAACACTTATTTTAGCCAACACATTTTTTGTCCTCTGATAGACTTTATTAAAACAAATGTAATGATTTTATTTTGCAACAAATATTTATAAACAGAAGTAAACATGTTAGTTTTTCACAATTTAAAAAATTAAGAACACTCATAAATATACTTCAAGCTAAATGAACATCAGGGTAAATTATGGAGGATGCTAAGTAATTTAATCTATACATATATAAAGGGCAGTTGTCTGTCTGTCTGTATGTATGTATGTATGTATGTATGTGTGTGTGTGTGTGTGTGTATATATATATATATATATATATATATATATATATATATATATACACACACACATACATCTGTGTGTGTCTGACTAAAACTAAAAAAATCTATAGTAATTAATGACAAAGCAAATATATGTACAGACTCATTATCACCCAAGCCAGCTTTCTGTAAAAACAATTATTATTGTATGATTTGTATTTATGAAGATATTTTAAAATTAAAATACGTTAGCATGCATTTGAAATTCTCAGAATTAAAAAGTAAAAACAAACGGTAATAATTCTTATTCCCGAATAGGATTACCATTCATTTTTCCTTTTTTTATTCTGCTGGTGCTTTCGAAACACTAAATGTATTTTTAAAATTTCTATTCTCTTGAATTTATTTTCACATCTATAATAAGTAAAAACTAACTTTTAAAAAGTGAATATTAAATACAATTATTTGACAAAAAGTTTAATATTTATTTATTCAGATATTTGAATGTGTGTATGTGTCTGCCTACATAAACCTCTCATCTGCAGAAACCCCCTCCTATCAATGGACTTTGGATGCAACAGACAAAATCTGCAGGCAAAATTTTTAAAAAATTTTCAAAATCATCAACAAAGTATTGAAAAATTTGCAGGCTTAACAGAATGAGTCATAATAGTTCCCAAAGTGACTACTTAGTGCCAGTTTTGGGCCTTTCAATTATAAACAAAGCCTGAAAATATGATACACTAGCATGTGCATAAGAAAGTAGCTGTGAGAAATCTATTTTGTTATTTTGATTGATATATCTATATATTAAGTATATATTTATTTATGCCATATATACATGTTTATAGTATTTACATTATGATCATAACTACTGGTAGTTACTGTAGTGGTTTTATAACTTGAAAATAATCCCTTCCCATCTATGGATAATTGGCTTTAATGGACCACACCTCTCCCACTATTAGTCCATTGATGAGGTTTGTATGTATATACAGACTTAGCATCACCCTAAAGGGCAGTTGTGTGTGTGTATTATTATTATTATTATTATTATTATTATTTTTCAGCCATCTTATGGAAAATAATTTTTTTATTCAATCTTTAAAAACTAAACTTCATTGTGTCTTTGGTTTGTAACTAACATAAAAAAGTAAATTTTAAATTAAGTTTTATTAAAGCAAAAAACTATAGCAAGCCTTCTTTTTTCAAAAATTAATTTAAATGTAGTTAAATTCGTAAAACAAATATTCAACATGAATAATGTTGACTGTAATTCATGTCTGTCTCTGCTAATTTTTATTTAACTATAGTTTTTCTTTTCTTTTTAAATACAAATATAACTTGAAATTTAAACATAACTTTTCAAAACTAAATTCTCAGTGTATCTTGCTTGCTTCTACTCTTTCAAAATAGTAATTCATTTACAGAGAAATGTTTGTTTTTTGAATGTAATGTTTAAAAGTAAAATCTTAAAATGTCATTTACTTAAAAAAATCTAAATTCCCCTCCAAAATAAATAGTAAATAATTATTTTTTGAAGAGGTAAGGCTCACTATAGTTTTTGCTTCAAAAAATGATTAAATTAAATGTTTAAAGATATCTTAATTTAAGTTTATTTTTTTATTAATAATAATTTGAAAAAGGTCAATGAATTTTTATCTAAGTTTGATTTGTGTGAAAACATTAACAGAATATTTATGTTAGTATTTAAATAAAAAAATATAGTGTCTTTTTGAATAAAAATATGGGGAGGCTCAGTTCCCTCAGCCCCCTCACCAAACATTGTATTGATACTGTGGTATCTTCCTAAATTTAGTCATTTTATAACAAACCAAAAAAAAAAAAAATGAAGTTTATTTTTTAAAGATTAAATACAAAATTATTAAAAATATCAATAAATTGTCAATAATAAACTATTATTCAGAGATCTTCTGAGCAACACCAGGTATCCCCACTAAATAAAAGTGAATGAATGTTGTTTTGTTTTTTTTTTTTTATAATGTAATTATTATTTTAGTCTGAGAAATAAAGTCCTGTATTATATATTTTAAATAAAAGAAAGTTTTAAATTTAACTGTTTTTTTTTTTACCGTCTTGAAACTTTTATAGTCCTGTATGTTAGTTTGGGAAAGGAGCCTTTCATTTAATAAAAGAGTTATCTGGAAAAACCTGGAGCACAGATTTATATTTTGGTAAGATTTGCTAGCAGTACTCAGGAATTTTCTCTGTTATCATGCAGTGTTGATATATCTCAACCCTTTAAATAAATATATATATATATATATTTCAAGAAATACCAGCACAGCCTTATTTAAAATGTGTTGTAGCATACCTACGGACAGTAATGGGTATGTCTCCATTCATATAAATACAATAGTAAATACTGTATGTTGGTCTGCAGTTGGAGATTAATCTCCAGCTGTGCTGGTCAAACTCTCAGCCTCTTTTGGGTTCCTCTTTGCCCAGAGGCAATGTCAAAAGGCAGTGTCTCATCTTGGGGAAACAGCTACCTGACCCTGTTTTATATGGGAAATTTTTGGCCGAGCCTATGGGATCAGATACCCCACATTAAATTCGACCTTGTGCCACATCTGACCTCCAGTTGGAGATATATTGTGAAATTCAGTTGACTCATCACTTCTAGCAGTTGACGACTTCTATGCGCCATTGGCAAATCTATATGTGTTGTTCTTGTCCTAAGTATTATCATTCATTACCAACCTTCATGTGATTATTCTATTCAGTAACCTTCCATAGGTTGCAACAGTCAAATGTAGATCAAATATGGATAGTAAATACTGTACGTTGGTCTGCAGTTGGAGATTCATTGTGGAATTTACTTGACTCACTTCTAGCAGTTGGCTACTACTTCTACACACCACTGTTGAATCTTATATGTGTTGTTCTTGTCCTAAGTATTATTGTTCATTACCAACCTCTGTTTGATGATTCTATTCAGTAACCTTCCCTAGGTTACAACAGAAAGTTTGACATATTTTTTCTTCATTTTCTGGGTTTTTTTTTTTTTTATTTCCTTCATTTTTTTAAAATCTGTTTTTTCCATTTTAGGTTCTTGGCTTCCCTGCATTTCTAGATTTGTTGGAATCACGGGTGCAGCTGTCTGATAACAGTGAAACATGTGCCGTACTTGAATCAACCCCAGTCCTAAATGCTAACTTCCCAGACAGCATACAGTCAGTTCTCATGTCGGCTTCATTCCCATTTTTACCTACTCGATGCAAATGCTACTTAGAATCTATGAAAGAAATTAAGAAAGCAGTTGTGACTGCATGGGACCAGTTCCAAGTGGAACGCAGTTATTCATCCGCACAGAAAAAATACACCTGGAAACATAAACGAAGCAAACAGAATTCAGGAAAGCTGAAGAATTCAGAAAATCTCTGTTCAGTCTTTGAAGACCTTCTCCTCAAAATGGAACAACATAGATATAATATTGGAATGTATAGTTTTTTAACAAGGTAATCAAAAAGGTTTTTTTGTTCCTTTTTAAGTCTTTATGTTAGCAATTTTCTCTGCTGTGTTTTCTGTAACAGTCTGCTGTTGTTGCTTTAGTTTTGGATGTTAACACTTCCCAAAATTATAGACATCTTTTTTCAGAATAGTTCAGTTGCCCAAATATGTCTCTTAATGATAATGACTCTCCTCAAAATTATAAGCAACATATTTTCAAAAAAGTTTAGTTGTCCAAACATCTCTCAATGATAAAAATTTCTCAAATGGCTCCATATTAAGATGAGTTGAATACTTCACAAGGTCAAATTGTTTATGAGAGAAGAAAAATTGTATTACACCAGTTCCCTAAATGCGAATTTGCCTACCAAGAAAATCAGTGTCTGAGGTTTTTATTTTTCTTTGCTTTAACCCCAACCTTTAGCATCAGTGGTGGTTGGGTGGGGATATTAAATTATTTCATCCAAGAAGTAGGTCACAGTAAGATTGACTTTATAGTTCATAACCTCAAAGTTATTAAAGAACACTCTGAGTCCGAAATTCAAATTTCTCACTGCAAATAATAATTTGTCCTTATTATCTACTGATTTATTTGGTCTAATGTCCTCATCCTGGCTATGATAGCCACAATATTTTTCCCCATGATATTCTTTGACTGTCTTCAGGTGCCTGTCACAGTTGGTAACCTGGAATTTTTATGAAAAAAACTTCCCCACCTGCTCATTATGCCTTGTCCATATAAAAAATTCTGTATAATGAATTAGCTGTTCTGAGATTTTCAGACAAATGAACCTTTATTTTTCTTGCTCACACAATGTTTTGCCTAATCCACTATATAGTCCTCTTCTTAATAATATTCATAAAGCAGTCATGAGTTGACTGCAGTGAACACCATCATCTTGTCAATGGCTACATAGCATATGCTATGACAAAACTACATTGTTCTCTTGGATTGATTGCCAACCAATGCTAGATAGTCCTGTCTGCCCTGCTATTTAACCTGTAGCTGAGGTTGGCAAGAGATGGTATCCTATGTTTCCCAAGGATATTTGCACAAAAGTAAATGTAATAAATCCAATTGGAATCCAAACTTGGTTTGCCGTCTTTCATATTTAGAAGCCTTCCATTCATCCTTGCTTTGAATATTGCTGTCACATCTGGTTTGGTGCTTCTGCTATATATTTAGAGATTCTTGGTAAAATTCAAAGAATATGTAATATTATTTGTCCTGACCTGGCACCTCACCTTCAGTCACTTTCCCACTGATGTAATACAGCTTCCCTGTGCCTTTTCCATAAATACATTTGTGATTGGTTGGTTGATTTAGTTTACTGGCATATCAACACCTCTATGAGTTATTTAATGCTAAAATCTAAATATTTTGTATATAATTTTATACTTTCAGGCTAAAAGGTATGTTTTTTAGATATATAGTTGTAGATCATAAAATGTATTGCGGGTAATTTTGCTATAAAAAAAAGTATTTTTATACTTTTTTAGTGTTGTATTGATTGTCATTTTGCTATAAAAATGTACTGATTTTCGTTTGGGGGTTCACTATTTGCCGATAGCTGGGACCCTAACAGGTGCTACCTCCCCCCCACTTTTATGGTAATTGTTCTGATGAACTTTCCTCTATGGCACCTAGACTTTAGGAATTTAAGCACAGTACTATTGGCAGCAAGATTTCCTCCTTTTACAATTGAAATGGTTAGGTGTAACCATAAGTTCTAACAGTTTCTTCTCTCGTACTTCTTGCTTGTGTAACTATCTTCTGGTTTCTTGCTTCTCAGTCAACTTTGATCTTCAAAAATTTAAATGCAATGTCAATCATTACCTTCTGTCATCTTAATTCCGGTTCTTTTATTGTTTTCTCCCCTTAATAGTGGTTTTTTTTTTTTGTTTTTTGTTTTTTTTTCTTATTCTCTAACACTCCATAACCCCTTGTGCCTTAGTGGCTTTATTGCCTTTCTTAGGGTGAAAATATTTAAAAAAAAAAAAAAAAATCACTATCCATTAGACCACCTGTACAGGATAATTTTTTTTTTTTTTCTTTAGAGGTTCAATTTTTTTTTTAAAATCTCTTTAAATGATAATGACTCTTCTTAATTTTATAAAAAAGCCATCATTAATTATAGTTTTCTATTGATAACCCATTATTTTATTTGCTGTCCCCAAGATGTGACAGTGGGCATTAGTATCTTTACTTTCACTTTTTACATTTCAAAATTCTCTAGCAGAAATGCTTTTCATATATCTGTCCTTGTGTTCTTGCAGAAGTTTACCTCCGGAAACCATGACAACTGAATACAGGAACTACTTATTGAATTTGTACAGACACGTGCAGGTGATGGTCAACCTGTTTTGTGAAAATGAGTTGAAACCAGCTGGTAAGTGTTCAGACATAATTGCAAGCATTTTATTCTTCAGATAGTTTACTTGAACAAATGTTTAACAGGTTGAATCTCATTAATCCTGTAACTTCAATGGTTCCATGATACTTATTTGAACTAGACAGCTATGAGTTTAATATAAGCAAAAAAAACAAATTGAAATCAACAGGGAGTGTGTGTTAACCTAAACTCCTATCAAAGTTAATTTTATTGTTAAAATCTTTGTGCCATTGGTAATAAAAAAATATTGAAAAAATAGTCAGATATCAAAATTTTGGGTATTCTTTAGAAGTGAAGATATTTCTGAAAAATGATAGTGCAAAAAGTTGTTTACATGTAAACAAAAATTATTAAAATTTAGGAGGCATTGTGAATTAATGGATAGTGGCTTGGATTGAGGAATCAGAGAGCCAAGTTTGTTTTCCAAATGAGTTCATTACATTTACTTACATGCTAATACCATTGGGAAAGGTATTGCTTCTTCCCTCAAGCTATGAGTAACATAGCTGGACAGACTGGATCCTGTGGTCTTGGTTGACAACTAGTCTAGGAAAAGGAAAACTGAATTCAAACAAGTCTGGAGAGGGCTAGGCTCCATCAGATTATATTGCTCAGGAAACACCACTGCTGCTGTGGCTGCCATACATGTGGTGACCCTAATAGATTACGGGACTTGTGATCGTGAATAATTTAAGGACACATGGCACAGTGGATAAAGGTGCTGGTTAGATCCAGTGACAGGACCCAAAGAGTGTGAGTTCAATACCCGGTTAAGGCAGTGGAGAACTTTCAAAGGGAAATTAACAGGAGATAACTGATAACTGACATCCATTAAAGATGGCATGTGGAATTAGAACAGTCTACCCCAGTGAGTGAAATAAAGGGTTAAGTTCGACATTCCAACCACCTGTAGAAGGCCAGAGCGTACAACAGCTGAAATGTTGTAATAAATATGGCGACAAAGATGTGGGCAATAGTCTGAATAATGTAAATAATACCTCATCTCAGAAATATAGACAGACAGTGAATAATTTACTTTAGAAAATCTTTATTTGAAACCACATGCTTGTCTTCAGCCATTGTGCTCTCCTACCTTCTTCAGGTATCTGTCATACTTGTTAATTTTCTTGGAATTTTCAACTGAATCCTTTATTCAATCTGTGAGTAGAATTTTCATTTTTCATGATTAGATACTTTGCCAGTCTTATTAACGTGTGTCACTTGTCTGTTTCTTCCACTCAACCAGTGTGTGTGACTTTTCAGCATTACCAGACTATGGATTGAACCCTCAACTGTCAGGAAACTAGACATATTTTAAACAAAGATTTAATCTACAAACAAGACCAATGTCTGTACTGAGGGGAATAGAAGTTGATATGCCGTTGAACAAAAACAACCAATCAACATGTACTCAGGTAGTGGAATTTTTCCATGTGTGTTTTATTTCTTAATCAGAGAATGCCAGGTGGTGTTCATCTCTTGATGAAAAAAAAAATGTCTAGATGAAAAAAAAAAAAAAAAAAAAAAAACTCAATTTTAAAACTCTACCAACATTCAACTCATTATTGAATTTCTATAAAATCTTTGCTTATTGAATAAAGGATGAAAATTATTTTGAAGAAATTTCCATTATAAATTTTGGAAAAAAAAATTTTCTCATGATTATAACCCCGACCTATCTCAGTTTGAACTAGTTTTATGACCAATGTTTTATTGGTATCACTAATAAAACTAATTACCTTTATTGCGCCTGTCTGCTCCCTTTAACAAGACCCTTCTCAACTCCCATAGAGCCTTGGGAATTTTACTCAGCCTGTTAATCTTCCCTACCTAGCTTGTGTTCAATTTTTTTGATCCAGGGTGAAGCTAGTTAAAATGCCCTCAGGTTTGTAAGTTAGTAGGTCTCGGTCTTATTCGCAACAACAGCAGCAATGCCTACAGACTGGTAAATAGTATTCAGTACAATTCAAATAGAAAATTTTGATCTCCAAAATCTGGTCTCTAACTTTTCTACTTGTTGATGAAATTGTTCTTGGGTAATATCTTGCAAGGGATAGTGAAGAGGTGTGGTTATGTCACATGTTTGTGTCTCCTGTTACTGACTACTGCTTGATTTTCTCAATCTTTAAAGAGGATGTTTCTTTCAGGTGTCAAATTACAAATTGATCTGCATATGTGTATAGTCATAGAATTGGAGGAACTGTTTTGATGACTTTGTCATACAGTCTTTCTTGGTGGAGAGTCTGCTGGATTTCTGACTTCAGTAGACAATGAAGACACAAGAGTGGGATAGTTTAAAATAATTAAATTCTTCTACTCAATTTCGTCCTACTGATTTAAAGGTCAGCTGTCATTTTTCAAGTTGGGTGAGGGATGGTGCTTCACATCAACACAAACAATGAGTTTTCCTTGTTTGTGTGAAGATTGAAATGTTTCTAACTTCTTAAAAACAGTGGAATAAATATAGCTGAAGAAGGCTGTAGAATTGATCTTCTGAAGTTTTAATGACTCGGTGAATGAGTTCTTTTTTTTTTTTTTTTAAAGCTGAACAAATTGAAATAAGCTTATTGTGCTTAAATTTCTTTCAGATTGTGAGATTCTGAAGAAAAACTGTTTCAAAGTCTTGGAAGAAGGCCCAGTAGTTACTTTAGGCCGACTGATGTTCAGTAAACGTATTCCTCCATATAAGTAAGTCGGATTTTCATTCTTTCTTCTTCTTTTTTTCTTTCTTCTTCTTTTTTTCTTTCTTCTTCTTTTTTTTTTTTCTTCTTCTTTTTTTCTTTCTTCTTCTTTTTTTCTTTCTTCTTCTTTTTTTCTTTCTTCTTCTTTTTTTCTTTCTTCTTTTTTTTCTTTCTTCTTCTTTTTTTTTTTCTTCTTCTTTTTTTTTTTCTTCTTTTTTTTTTCTTTCTTCTTCTTTTTTTCTTTCTTCTTCTTTTTTTCTTTCTTCTTCTTTTTTTCTTTCTTCTTTTTTTTTTTCTTCTTTCTTCTTTTTTTTCTTTTTTCTTCTTCTTTTTTTTCTTCTTCTTTTTTCTTTCTTCTTCTTTTTTCTTTCTTCTTCTTTTTTTCTTTCTTCTTCTTTTTTTCTTTCTTCTTCTTTTTTTCTTTCTCTTGAAGAGACTGAATTTTAA